GAAGAATGAGTAGGGTCTCTTAGAGGGAGGCTTCCTCTGAGGAGAGGGCATTGGAGCAGAGCACTTAAGGAAGTGAGGGAATAACAGGGCTTGGAGTTGAGGGCAAGTGGAGGTTGTGACATCATGATCTAATTAATGTTTTTAAGAGGTCACCGACTGTCATGTAGAACATTCTCTTTAGGAGAAGATAAGGAGAAACAGGGAGACCCGTGTTTCCTAGTTCATAAAGAGATGTTGGAAGAGCATGTTAGCTCACATGCCTCCTGGAGCAGTCACCAAGGCAGAATGTAGTTGCCAGGATCCTATTAGGGGAGAGGAGTGGAGGGAAAAGGAGGGAAGGAGGTATCCTGGCTGTCCTCTCTGCTGGTCACAGCCAACAGTGGTGATTGGAATAGAGTGGCAGATGAGAGAAAATAAGTTGTCACTTTTAGCTTATATTTGAGAGGGAGAGCTGGCTGGACTTAAGATAAAAGGATATAAGGGAAAGAAGAGAATCAGAATTTGCTTTTAGGCTTTTGAGCTGATTGTCCAGCTGAATGATTCTGAATGAACGAGAGGGAGCCCAGGGGAACCTTGAACTGAGGACTTGCTAATTTTGAGATTTCTATCAACCTTTTCAAAGGATTCTCCAGCTTGTGGATTTTACTTGCCTCAGGTCCTTCTCCTCTCCCTTCCCACAGTAGTATTTGGGGAGCTTCTTTAATTTACACAGGAGAGGTAGGAGAAAGTGTGAAGTAATAGGAAACAAGTGTGCTAAAACAGAGAAGGAGCTATTGTCCCTCTGTCCCAGGGCTCTGGCCTGCATCCTGTGGAGTTTACCTATGGTGTGAGGGCCATTTTACTTACCTTGATAAATGGCCTGGGAGCATTCTTTTTACCTTAGGCTATTCTGGTCTCATGAAATTGCAATTAACCTGAATTCTTTGACTATTACTTTAAAAAAAGTTAAAAGTGTTTTAGGCAACTAAGGGAAAAAGTACTGTAGGTAGAAGGCAGAAGATTCTTGAATTTAGGCTACATAGAGATCATAGGGGTTTGAATGAGAAAGCCCCAAGGATGTGGCTGTTTATATGTCGTTACATGGTCAGTAGTTTTAAGTGCGCACAGAGAAATAGCAGGACACGGGCAGCATTATAGGTTCTTACTCGCATCCATTTGATAAGGAAAACTCCCGTTTATATTACATGTCAAGTCTATAAATAACTTAAATGTTATTTAAGTTTCATGTCATAATGATTTTTAAAATTCTACTTTGCCTTTAACCTAAACTTCACAGTCTCATTAAACACACATGGTTTATTGGTAACTTACCACATGCTGAGGGCTTCCTGGTGGCTCAGATGGTAAAGAATCTGCCTGCATGCAAGAGACCCAGATTTGATCCCTGGGTTGGGAAGAGCTCCTGGAGAAGGGAATGGTTACCCACTCCAGTAATCTTGCCTGGAGAAACTAGGACAGAGGACACCCCCCCCCCCCCCCCACACACACACACCTACCACTTGCTGGGCCCTATCAGGTGCCAGGAAACAAAGGAGAGGAGAGTAGGAGGTCCTTGACCCCAGAAGCTCATGGTTAGCAGAGGAAACTAACACCTATACATTACATACACTAACCATCACACCAGTGTTTGTTAGTGTGGTAAACGTCACATTGCCAGTGTGTACAACATTCCAAAAAGTACAGGGGAGGAAGACATTATCGTAAAGAGAAAATGATGTTTTAGTCCCAGTGGAGGAGTGAGTGTTTGACAGACAGAGGAAAGAAGAGGCAGTAGGGTCTGACATGAAGATCAACCAAAGCAGATGGGAAAATACATGGCATGTGTGGGCAGTTTTCAAGTCCAGGGATGCGCTGTAACTCTAAACCCATGGGTGGGTGGATGCTTCAATATCTTGATACATTCTGCCAAGGATCTTTTTTTTTTTCCTGTGGATAATGTGAGTGGAGTTGAGACATTGTAAGCTGGAGAATGGACATGAGGTTGCCATATAGAAGATCAATATGGTGGCAGTAGTGAGGGTCAAAGGGCTGGGGTAGAATACAGGGAGAGTAGCTCAATGGCTATTGTTCCAGGCCAGGTAAGACTTACGAGACCCCACCCCAGGAGTGGAGGGTAGGAATGGAGAGTGAAGACAGCTCAGCAGTCTCTTTTAGATTGGAGGTAGTTGTCTTGAGAGTTATGTAATGTAGGGAGGGGGATGGCATGATTCTGAAGTTTCTGATTTCTAAGAAGGGGTTGAGGAGATTGCATGTTTGGGTGGAAAGAAAGGGTAGATATGAGTTCAGATACACCTTTCTTATTTGTTTGGATGCGTTACTTAATTTCTAGCCCCATATATAAAATGGGGACAAAGAATCCTGTTTTCAAGCATTTTACTGGATATTATAGACAGTGATGCTGTCCTTTGAGTGGACTTAAAACTACAAAAGGAGGGGCAGATATAGGGCAAAGATAGTGGGAATTTAGGAATCTGAGATGGGAAGCATTTCTTACACAAACTTTGTATTATTCACTTTTTGTCATTATTTCATTTACTCCTCACAGCCAGTCTATTGGTGTGGGTAGTATTATTACCATCATTTTACATGAGAACATGTCAAGGTTTTGTTGTTGTTTAGTTGCTAAGTTGTGTCTGACTCTTTCTCCACGCCATGGACTGTAGCCTGCCAGGCTCCTCATGCATGGGATTCTCCAGGCAAGAATACTGGAGTAGGTTGCCATGCCCTCCTCCAGGGGATCTTCCCAACCCAGGAATCGAACCTGAGTCTCCTGCTGTGGGAGACAGATTCCTTACCACTGAGTCACCTGTGAAGTCCTGTCGAGGCTTAGTGGGAACAAACAACTTGACTAAGACCGCATAGAAGAGTTGGATCTTCAGTCTGAGCTGAAATTAAATTCTGATTCCAGAACCTGTGCCTGTGTTACCACACTCTGTGGCCTCCTAAATCTTTCCTCATTTGTATACACACAGAGGATGCATATAATCTAAATCAAAGCCTCTCCAAACCTACCTTACCCTGTATAATAATGGCTGATAGCTTCTATTATTCTATTTGTTTGTAAAAACAAAATTATTGAGTGGAGCCTATTAAGATGAATTTAAGAGCCTGTTAAGTTGAATTCATGGGTCTTTTCATGCATCATGACCCACAATTTGAAAAATACAGGGATAGAACTTGAAAAGAATAAAAGGGATTTCTGTGGCTTCTATCATCAGATGGCTTTGGGGTTCATTGTGTGTTATAGTACATACTTGTGTTGTGGTTTCATTTTTTAAAAACTTCCTTTCCATCTGTAATTATCCGGGGAAGATACTGCCTCTCCAGCAACTCTACTGGGTAAATCTCTGCCCTTGGTCTCTTTCCAGGCCTAGAAGAGGGGAGTAGAAAGACTGTAGTCACAGGTGACCCGGGCAGTGGCAGCACTTGTGGTCCAAGTGTTCTTTCACTAACCTCTCCCTTCTATAAATTGCAACATTGAACTTGTCCTCCCATGGCTATTTGTGTTGGCCTCCCCACGTGTGACACCAGGACTTGTCTTTGCATGTTTGCAACTGCAGCATGGAACTCAATGCCTGGCATAGAGTGGTAACCCAACATGTGCCAAGAGACGAGGGAGGGGACATCAGCCAGGCTAGCCGACCTTCTCGTATTCACATGGCCTCCGTCTCTTGCAGACCAACAGCTAGAGAGTTGAAATCTAGCAACTTGGAAGAGTAATACTGACCTCCAGCTATTCTGTTGTCACTGGGTTAGGCCAGTCTGCTTTACCAGGAAAGGATTAGTCATAGATTTTGAGATTCTAATGCAAATCCACCACTATGCTCCCGAACACAAGCTAGAAAATTACATTTTTGAAAAACATAACTGTATTGATATGATGTTGTGTAAATATATAAAACTTGGGGTACATGGAAATTTACAAAGAGTATTAATGTAGAATATAATAAATAAGAGCCTCTGCAGTGATTATTAGTAGAAAAAGAAAATAAACATATTACATCATATAATAATTGTATCCAAAGCATATTTCCACCTTAACCAGGAAAAGAACAGGAAGAATTTGAGGGTAAAGGGGGCAATACATATATAAATGTGTACATATATGTAAATGTGTATATGTAAATAAGTGTATGGGTAAATGCATGTAGATAGTTATGTACATAAATAGAAACCAAGAATTAACATTTTAAAGTCTTGTGTTAGCAAAAAGTATGTCTTTTTGCTGCTTTAGTTCAGAATGAGTGTAGAATATTTGCTAAAAGAGTTTAGTGCATTTCTGAGACTTACTGAGTCAAGTCTGTGATTAAAAAGAAATGAAATTCTGCTTGAATGCTTAAATACTCTAAGATAAAAACAAAAAACAACTTTGTGACTTGGATACTGAAGTGGAGCACATATCACTGAAAGGCACAGGAACATCCACCTCCAAGCAAGAAAATAACAGGCTGAGTTTGCTACTTGAGAAGTTTCATATAGGAATGCATTTTTATTTTAAAAAAATTGCTGAATCAGCACAGGAAAATGAGAATCTGTCCTATTTCTACTCCCTTGAGAGACTAGACTGTGTTCCTTGGTACCATGGTCTCAGGGGTGTGTTTCCCCTTGAGCCCAAACAATAGACCAGGTGACTTTCCGGTCCTGCCTAGCCCTGTAATTCCAGTTCATCCCCTGCCTTTCAGTGCCTTGTTCCAAACAGTAGCTAGGACTCCCTGTGCTCTTAAAGTACTGCCACTGTGAAAGTCATCACTGACTGGTATTTAAGAAGATTGTGAGTATATTTTCTAAGAGTTGACGGCAAATCAGAATCGCTTAATCCGTGTCTGTAGGTTCCTTAGTATAGTCTAACTTCCTATTATGTCGACTTAGGAAATTGCTATTTCTGCAGGTCAGAAAGGTCTGATTTCATGTGGTCTACCCAGAGCTGAAACTATATCAATGCTATCAAACACATATTTTGTGTTTTTCTTTCATGATTGTGCATTATTTTTCTTTTCCAGCCATTGGGAGCAGCAGCTTCAGCCCAAGACCAACTCACCAGTTCTCCCCACCACAGATTTATCCTTCCAAGTAAGATGTATTTTCTCTTAATCAATAAATAACTTTTCTGAGTAGTCTTTTACCTTATTTCAAGTCAGGTCTGGTGCCCACGTGTTACATCTTAAGTGAAACTAAAGTGTGTTTCATAGAGACTTAAGTATACTTATGTAAATTTATTTGGAGCATCACCTAGGAGGGACACTGAAATGTTTCAGTACTTTGTCTATGGTAGTTGAAGGTTATACATGAAGAAACAATCTTTAACTAGACTTTGTGATTTGGTTGTTAATCAGTTTCCTTGCATGTTTCCATCTAATGCATGGGCTTTCTATTTTCTGTCATTTCTGACAAATAGCAGACCATACCCACATATTCTTCCTACCCCTTCCTCACAAACTATGGCTGCATATGGGCAAACACAGTTTACTACAGGAATGCAACAAGCTACAGCCTACGCCACGTACCCACAGCCGGGACAGCCCTATGGAATCTCCTCCTATGGTGAGTAACACCTTTGCTTTAGCAGTGGTGTTGCCTTGTGGGCACACCTGTACCTGTGAAAGTGCCACAGGAGTGGTATACAGAGATGGAGCCCTTGGTCACTTGAGAAAGGGTCATCACCTTTTGTGTCTGAATTCCTAATATGATTGTTTCTAATGAGCATGGTAAGGAGGGGTGGCTACTTATCTTGAGGTCAGAAGCGGCAGATAGATAGCATGGTTTGTATGCTCTCTTGCTCTTTGTTTTTTTCCGCCCATTTATATCTCAATTCTTAATTTGCCATTTGAACGCTTGGTTCAGGAATCCAAAGTATTCTGGTGCATATTTCTGATAAAACTTCTGTGAATGAAGTCTTTTGGGGGTGAAGATTCATTTCCTGTTTATCAGGTGCTGAGCTATGATTAGCGAAGTACAAGCCACATTCAACAAACCCTGGCTCTAAACTTGATGGGAGTAGTCGTCTCACATGTCAGAGCAGTCGTCTCACATGTCAGTGTTATCAACCACTAGGAAAAGTGATCTATATCGTGGCTTGGGCTGCACTTTAAAGAGCCCAATCAGGAAACATTGAAAGCTCACATCCTTATTTGTTCCCTCTCACCTGGGGATTATCTTTATCTTGGTGTAATTTAACTCAATTGTTAACAGGGTCAATACCTGTAAATTAAAAATAAAGCCAGCCAAACTTCAGAGTTTAATTCTTAAAAATCTTAGGATTCCAAAAATACCTTCTTTTCCATGGAACGGTAGCTGTAATCTTACACAAATTGCAACATGTTGGAATATAAAACTATGAATTATTGGCATTTGATTACAAAATAAATAAAACCTAGTGATCCAGAAAAAAAAATACATGAAATTTTAGAAGCAATGACTGAAAGAAAAGACTAGTGGATTATTTTGTGATCAATATTCTAATTTTGCTTCTGCTGCTGTTGTTGCTTCATAATCTTTTCTCAATATGTTGAAACAAATAATGTTCTTCTTTAGGTATTTCACTGATCATTAGAAGGTAAATTATCTTTGGTTTTTTTTGTCCTGTCTTTACCCCAGGCAAATTTCCCATATATACATTTTATAGAAATGAAATTCTAAATTATGTATTACTTCAGCTTTTATAGTTTTATTTTTAAAAGATCACAACTGAATGTGATCCAGTGAAGTGTTTTTCAACTAGACTTAAAAACAGCTATCAAACGGACTTCTTAGAATTATCTTTCATTTCCATGACTTCACTGAGTTTCTCAAAATGATGTTAAATATAGATCAAATTATCTGTAATTTACTTTTAAACTGTTCTTGTGCTGAAAGAGGAAAAGGGTCCCATGATTTGAATTGTGTGACTTCAAATTCTATAATGTGAATTAAGGCAATCCCCCAGTTTATATTCTCAAAATTTATTTATAAGCTGATGATTTGAAATATAAATGTACAGGGCAAACAGTATTCAAGTTACTATAGATGTATCAATGATGCCAGGAGAAGGTACCTTTCCTGGTACTGCTTTAGCTGCTACTCACACAACTCTCTTGGTTTTTCTTTTTCTTTTTTGCTCCTCCCCATTCAGTCATGGTTGGGCCCTTTGCTAGTTTCTGGGTAAGGACTCTAGTTTTAAACCATCAACAGATGTCTCTGTTGTCTGAAATAGTTGATCCAGTAGGGTGAGATGAGCAGACGTTCTAAGATTATACTCCCAATTAGTAAAGTGAGAGTGGGGATTTTCATGTGGTAGGTGGGGACTGGGAAAGTGGCGAGAGTAAGGCTTAGTGTGAAGGACTTGATCCTAGAGCCTTCCATGCTTATAAATCTGGGAATGAATAATTCTCAATCTTGAGCACTTTCCTAATTCACGCCCCGCTTCTTCTCTTTTTGCGCCTTGAGGGCAAGAAGATGCCCTAGTGCTTCTGGCCTGCCATTCTATTTTTCTTGGGCCAGTGCATGGAAAAATATGGCAGCTTTCTTTTCATTGTTTGCTCCTGGAAGAAAAGCACATAATTTAAATTTATGGGTTTTAACCTTAAACTGATAGTTAAGATTCTGATGGTCTTAGAATTCTGACTATCTCTGAGGACGTGTGTCCCCTGATTTTTTAATTAGACACAGTGAGAGAAGATAGGCAAATGTTTTCACAGTAAGAGCAGTGGGTCCGCGGGGAAGAAGGGGTCATGCCATTCTTCACTCGATCTGCGTGGAGTCAACCAGTCGGATGAGTTTGCCAGCTTCTAGCTAGAAGCCATGGAGATGGGTGTGGCTATGGGCATTTTCTACCTCTTCCTGCTTTTCTTTATCTGTTCTTACCACAAAGATTCCCATTCTGAGCCTCCAGTCTGAAAACAGAGCTGGCACAGGTGAAGACCGAAAGTACAACAGTGTAGCATCAGAGAGAGGAGAAAATCCCTATTGTGACCCTATGAAAAGGAAGTGAGTTTCTAGAGCCATCAAACCACCTGTCTGGGGCAGCTGTTTTTCCAAGGACCATTCATAAGTGTGGCTTATTCATTGGTTTGGGATTGCCTTTGCAGGGAAAGTGACATTTTTTAAAATGCTAAGGTTGTGTTAAGACTGCGATGCAAGGCCATTATGAGGTTGTTTAGAGATACTTCAGAAATTAGAGTAAGCTCTCTCAGCCAAGAGTCAGACTCTTCCACTGCCTTAGGAAAGTTACCTAAATTCATTCTACTGATGAAATTCCCCTAAAATGGAAATAAACAGTGAGACTACTGTGTATTCTAGATCCCAAAGATATTATTTATCTTAAGTGCAAAGTAAAATTATTCCAAAATGTGAATTCCCTTGGCAGACATTTTCCTCCCCTCCCTCTGTGGGAATTAAAGAGAGTTGTTAACTTTCATGACTGTCTTTAATTATGATCCAAGGCTGAGCCTTGTGCAATGATACTGCCAAACCCAAGTCCTGAAATTAGGATGTCAGCCTGGTACTTTGGGAAGTATTTGGGGGCACAAATACTTTATTTTTATATTATGTGATTTTTAAAAAGTATACTTTTAAAAATACATAAAAGGTGTGCTTTAGGTTACACTTAAAAAATTATATTTGAATAAATACTTGAAACTGCAAGGGGCAATAAGGGAACCATTGGTTTCCTTCATGCTTTTCTGTAGGACTGAATTCTTTACTATTCTGCTTTCCTTGTGTTTACTTTGTGGATACCTGGGAAAAGATTTCCTCCTGTGTTGCTTAGTTCTATGTCCAGTATTGCTACCTCTGACCTCAGAATAAATTGTGTACTAAAATCAGCATTGTGGTAGAAAGAGTAAAGAAAAAACTTTTTAAATGCTATGAGGTTAGAGACTCTTAATCACTTTTTAGAAAAAGAATTTGATTTTGACATTAATGTAACAATGTTTAGAACAATATAGTTCATTTTAATTATGACCATTTCTGGACTGTAAAGATGATCTTAAACTCTTGTAAAAACAACACAGTTAATTACAGAAGCTAGATTTTGTAACAGCTAATCACTGGAGTTAAATTTTATAAAAAATGGAATTCAGGAAAACAACAACAAAGAACAGTGGAGACAGGCATTCCAATCTGTCATAATCCTGTTTTGTGTGTTTTTAATTGAAGGTAGAGTTAAGGGTATTTCACACTAAGCATGTTTGGCCTTGGCTATTGAGATAATACTGGGAAGAGTTTATGACTGGATAGCTGTGGGAGGTTTTTGTATACTCACCAGCTGTTGAAAATGAACAGATAGATAAGCTATCACTAACTGATTTAGGTGCATTGTGGGCAGGCATCAAGACTGAAGGTGGATTGTCACAATCTCAATCACCTGGGCAGACAGGATTTCTCAGCTATGGCACGAGCTTTGGGACCCCTCAACCTGGACAGGCACCGTACAGCTACCAGATGCAAGGTCTGTATACATACTGACATCGATCCTTTCATTAACCCTACAGGATAATTAGATTCTAAAGTGGACCCTGATATTCTGTATAACTTGTGGATGATGCTAGGTGTACTGGGCTTGGAGGCAAGATGCCTGGTTCTCATCTGGCTCTTTACACACCTATTCTCCGAGCCTTAATTTCCTTATTTTTAACATCCAGGGGTTAGACAGGATGATCACTAACATTCTTTTTCAAAAAGCTCTAACATTTTTTGTGACATTGAAGTTTTCTGCCTTTGCTTCTATCAGTGAAAAAAGGAATGGAAAAAAGCACAAGTCAATGATGTAACATCCTAATGTGGACTATCCTAAAAACTCTGGCACTTGTGGCCTTTCAGCTTTTTGCAAGGGGCTGTTTTCCTCATTATCACATTTCTGGAAATGGAACCATGATAAGTGTTGACTAAATGATCTGTCAAAGACCAGGAGATCAAATTGACAGCCATATTCAATGCATCTTCAAGATATTGCTTCCAAGGACCCATTCCTGGGTTCTGATTTTGAAATTGTAGACAAAACATAATGTTAAGTGCATGTCATGTCATAAGAATGACAGCTGAAAGTTTACATTGTCAAACTGTTTCAAGAGTAAGCATTACTGTAATTGGCAGATTATTGTCATGCAAATGTGTCTGTAAAGTACTTGAAATTTGTTCTTGCATAATTTAAATATTCTCTCTCTCTATATATATATATTTTTTTTTACTACTAATTAGTTCAATAAATCATATCCCTTCAGTAGTGCCAAACTATAGTCAAATTGCTTCCCAGGTGACACAGTGGTGAAGAATCTGTCTGCCAGTGCAGGAGATACGAGTTCAGTCCCTGGGTCAGGAAGAGTCCCTGGAGAAGAAAATAGCAACTTACTCCAGGATTTTTGCCTGGGAAATCCCATGGACAGAGGAGACTAGTGGGCTACAGGCCATGGGGTCGCAAAGAGTCAGACATGACTGAGTGATTGAGCACATCTATAGTAGAATTAAATATTTATGTTTTAAAATCTTATTTGCTTTTCTTTATTGAAGTGTAGTCAATATATAATATTATATAAATTATAGGTGTGCAACATAATGATTAACCTTTTTAAAGGTTGTATTTCATCTATAGTTGCTACAAAATGCTGGCTATAGTCCCTGTGTTGTACATGTACTCTGTATACATACTTGTGCATGTGTGTGTGCTAAGTTGCTGCAGTTGAGTCCAACTCTGTGTGACTCTAGGGACTGTGGTCTGCCAGGCTTTTTTCAGTTGTCATAATGCCCTTCAAGTCCATCCATGTTGCTACAAGTGGCAAAATTTCATTCCTTTTTTTTTTTAATTTTTTTAAAATTAAAAAAAAATTTTTTTTTAATTTTTTAAAATTTTTTAAAATCTTTTAAAAATTTCATTCCTTTTTATGGCTGAGTAGTATTCCACTGTTTGTGTGTGTACGTTTACCTACACATCACATCTTTATCCATTCATATGTTTGAAGACACTTAGCAACCTGCTCTTTTTAATAACAAATATAAACATCTTTTCATATCAACACATTCTATAGCATTTTAATGGCTGCATGGTTTCACAGATATATCTTATCTAATCCAGTATTAGACATCTGGAGTGATTCTATGAATGTCTCATGTGCATCCTTAATTATTCCCTTTGAGTAAATTTAAGTGTGGCTAGGTAAACTGTTTTAAACACTTTTAGGGATTTGTAATGTTTTTACACAAGGAAGGGCTGTGAATTAGAGTGAACACATTAAATATTTAACTTTTAAAAATTTGTCATTTTGGAAGGTCTGAGATTTTATTGTTATTTTCATGTGCATTTTTAGAAAATTGAGCTGATAAACCATTTTTTCTTTTCTATCATGGTGATGTTCATCTTTTCTTATTTCTTATACTTACATTTCTTAAACTTTGGTAATGTTTTATAGATATTTTTCTATAAAATATTTTTATATTTTATAATGGTTTCTATAAAACATAAATTTCTATATTTTATAATGTTTTATAGATACATTTCCAGTTTATCATTTTAAAGAGCTTTTTACCCTTCATGGGGAAGCTAAAATTTTATGGGACCAGATCCATTAATCCTTTCATATTTGTTTTGCCTTTGGTATAAAAAGGGCTGAATTATAAAGTTTTGAAATACTTGATGGCTACAAAGTTTAAAACTATCTTACAATGGATGATGTTTATTGTTAGAAGGATACTACTTTTGTGCCTGATTCCAAAACTTGAAAGCAGCCTTGGAAAAGAACTATGGTTATGTACATGCTAAACATCAGTTGAGTAAAGGGGTAAAAAGAACAGAAAGTGATGAGACTTCACTGAAGAATTGAACCATCTTAGGCTTTAATAGTGAAATGATTCATAAGGTGAGCAAAGTCTGTAAGGTTCATTTGTGTGAAGTAGTGAGAAAGGAGACAGATAAATGAACTATGCAATTGCGGAGTCTTGGGAGAGTTAGGGGGAAAAAGTTGGGTGCTGCGATGGGTCCCATTCTAACCCTGGGCATCCAGGTCTCTTTAAGGAGAAGTGGATCCTAAGAGTCCAAATAAAATAGGTGAAGTGCCCTCCAGAGAAGAGAGACAGCTACATGTGTGATTCCTGGGCTTGAGCCCACGTGCAGCCAGCCCCTTGGTTACCATCCACAATGCACTGAGTACAGAAATTGCGAATAAGTGTTTAGAAATGGTTATGGTATGTCATAGTAAACCTTATTATGCTGGTGAAATGAAACACTAACATTAAGAAATCAGACATGTACTCTTTGTCTTTTCTTTTTTCACCTCATTATTTTAGTCATACGTAACTATTATATTTTGCTAAATTGTCAGTCTGAGAAGGATTAGAAGTAAAAACAGGGTTGTATCTTGGAGAATTCAAGAAAGATGACACTTGAGAGTTCTTTTTTAAGGTATTTCTAATCTTTTGCTTTTTAGTTTTGCATATGTCCTGATATTGGAGATACAACTCATTTTTCGTTTATTCAAGTTTATTTCAATAACTGTATTATCAGGTGGCCATATTACAGAAATTCAAGATCTTTTAAAATTAGAGGATAATTATTTTACAATATTGTGATGGTTTCTGCCATACATCAACATGAATTAGCCATAGGTATGTATATATATATGTCCCCTCCCTCCTTTCCTCTCAGATCAAAAGCTTATGTGGCAGAAAATTCCTGCGAGAACTAGCTAGCTATTAGATGTATGTATAGCTTTAGAGTATAGAGAAGAATGGAAATGAAGAAGAAAAGAAAGTTAATTTGGAGGAGGAAAAGAGTCTTCATTTTAAAGCAGAAATAAGGACATTTGTAGAACCAAATATAGTAAATGTAGCATTGCTCTCTAGTCATAGATTTCATTGCATCTGGGATATTGCATTAAAACTTTTTGTTTTTAGGCATACCCTCGTTGAATGGTCTTTCCAGTGGGATTTTAGAACCCATTTTCACTAAAATTTTATTTCATATGAACGTTTGTATAATGGCACTTTGTCCATTTTTAGAGTAATCTAAAAATATGATTTTCACACATCAAGCCAGAGAATACCATGCTGTTAACTTGAAACTTGCCAAAATGATGATGGATAATGATACATGATATTCTGTAGGCTACTTATAGTCACATTTGGATAAATAATTAAACTCTGATAAATATGAATTTCTTAAACATTAAGTGCATTATAAAAAAAATGAAATGAAGTAATATTATATATCCAGTCATGGGAGTCTGTTGACCTTTGTCTTTTCAATACTTCTTTTCAATATAAAACTTTCTATAGTGTCTAAAATTATTTTTTAAATTCTCCAAATTCTATTATCCTTAATGGATAACAGTGATTTTTGTTCATATCATTCTTACAGCTGTTAAAAATTCTTAGAATCCTGGATGACAGTATACATATTTTAGTGATTTGGGAGTATTGATATTTTACCTAGCTTTTCCTCCAAGATCTTTTGACCTTTAGAATATAAAATATGATGAATTATTCAGAGATTTAGTTGCTAAGATTCCATATTAGTATTTCACAATATTAGAAGAAATACTTTAGTAACCAAGATGACTTGAACTAACTCAGTGGTGGCATATATGCTTTAGGGTGTTGTGCTGATTAGCTTCAGGAGAATTTATGATGATCACCTCTTTGGTTCTGTCAGATTTAGAAGGTTGGACTAAAGATATAATCTTGCTTTCTGGCAGACATTGTAGGTACTGGAGTCAAGCTGCCTGTTGAACAGCCTGCCCTTGCTATTGGTGGGACTTCAGCGTGGGGCTCAACTTCATGACTCCATTTTTGGAGTCTCTTAAATATTGTCTGTTCCCACAGTAGTGGGCTTCCCAGGTGGTTCAGTGATAAAGAATCTGCCTGCCAATTCAGGAGATGCAGGTTTAGCCCTAGGGTCAGGAAAATACCCTGGAGGAGGAAATGGAAACTCACTGCAGTATTCTTGCCTAGAGAATCCCATGGAGGAACCTGGCAGGATTGCAGAGTTGGACATGACTGAGCAACTGAGTGCACACACACACCCGCTGTAGTATTGTGAGATTTCATCAAGGTCATCCATGTATGGGCTTCTCGGGTGGCTCAGTGGTAAAGAACCCACCTGCAATGCAGGAGATTTTCATTCGGTCCTTGGGTTGGGAAGATTCCCTGGAGAAGGAAATGGCAACCCACTCCAGTATTCTTGCCTGGGAAATACCAAGGACAGAGGAGCCTAGTGGGCTACAGCCCATGGGATTGCGAGAATCAGACATGACATCACTCTGACCAACATCTAGCACTAGTAAGCATTTAAATGCTTAGTTTCATTTAACTGTGTTCATTGTGATAGTGATGTGGTGGTGGTGATTATTATTATTATCATTATCATCATCATCATGTAATAGTTCCAGATTAGGAGCACTGCCAAATTCTCCTTCTCTTGCATTTCCCAAGAGGAAAAAAAATATATATATATATATATATATAT